GGATGCTATCATAAGTATTAAACAGTCTCTTAATAATGTTGACTTCAATATTATTTTTACAGAACCAAACGATATTGATGTATTTAGAGATACTTTTAGGATGACCTTCGGAGTAACCAACCAAATATCAGTCAATCAGCTGAATAAGATGTCTTTTGTTAATAGTTTAAGATCCTGTAGTTGATTCACGGTCAAATCATCATCCAAAATAGGAAATCTGATCAAAAGTATGACATCCAATTAACAGGCTATTTGCGATCCCAATTTAGAAATTGCTCATAAATTCAACAAAATTGCAATGTTACTCAGATTGGTTCCGTTTTATTCGGTCGTATTTGCCACAGACATCTAAAACAATTCATTTATCATAAGAACCCTTCCACGGTGTGGGCAGCCAGAAAGTCACATCCGCCCTCATACCCATATAAACATATGAGACCAAATTGGTCAAAATCAAATTCTTTCTACACCTAATAACTCTCTTATCTCCTCGACCAACTCTTCCTTCGATCGTTTATCACGTTGCACCACTGAAGCAAAGGGTTTGAGCTCACGAAATGTTGTTCCTGGTCTCTTGAAACCTCGTACTAAATTACATATTGGAGCTTCTAATATTCGAACCCTATGCCAAATAGGGCAACAGGCCTCATTAGCTGGAACTCTGAAATTCCGAGCAATTGATGTATGTTGCGTCTCCGAAACGCACATACAAGATCCGAGTAAAATCATCAATTTGATTTCACTGCTATGGGATTTGAATTGACAATTACATCTCTGTGCTAATGTGGCATGGCAAACATGAACCGATGTACGAAGTTCTACGTTGTTAGTGATTGATTGATTTACCATAAGAATACAATATTAGACGAATCAAAGAACAACATCTGAGAATACAACATGTTTATGTGTTCGGAAGCATTTATCATTTAGACTCTATTTCAAATTTTAAGTGTAAAATAGTGAATGTGGTTGTTAGACAAAGGAATATTATCAGTTTATAAAATCAGTGATTTCTGATCGGAGACGAATTGTATACAGGTTTCGTAGTGTCAACGTGAACATCGTCAATAATGTTTGAGGATTTAGATGATTAACATCAAAATCGGTTGCAGTAAAACAAATGAATTTTGGTTGAGATTTTAAGTCCATATATAACTATATAATTTTTTCCTACGTTTCATTTTTACGACAGATTATAGGATCATATCCATTGATTCACTTTTCTCTATGTATGTTAGTGTTTTAACTAAGACTACAGAAAATATCCGATGACATAAGCTTACAATTGCATATTTGTATTTTTCGATGCCGAAGTACAATTTTCAAAACTTGAGATAGGCAATTACGAATTAGTTTTGAAGATTATTAAAAAAAAAACAACTTATTTTATTCTATTTAAAATAATGCATTCAATATTTTCTATTTGTTTAATTACTCGAACACTTGTCTTTCAACATTTTGTTGTGTTAAACTTTCTATATGACAGATGATAATGATGATGACACTACTTGAACATTTAAAACACAAATACAATAGTTAGAATTAACAACAAAGATAACTGAATATAGAATTATATGTATTTCTCTTCGGAAATATGTGTAGCGTCATTATTAAACAGAATATCAATTTATTTACAGAGTTACAAATACATACTGGTTGGTGGTCTTTTGAAATGATTAATGTTTTTTTGTTTTAAATGTTAAAAAGATACGACATACTAATATCTGATAGTTTTTGAAAGTTTTGGAAGAATAAGATGCAGAAAACGTAAAAAAAAGAAAGAAATCAGTCATTCACTTCATTTTTTTATCCTTCTTCCCGACCGAAGCTGCTACCTTGACGTGGTGGTCGGGCTTGCCTATCGTGATGACCCAACCGAGCTATACTGGCTGGAACACATGTTCCTGCAGGTCCTACCATGCCAGCCAGGCAGGTCGGTTCGAGAACGATGAGACTAAAAGCAGCTACTCAAGGTCTGAGGGCGAAGTCGTACTGCTGACTACAGAGGAGTGTGACAGCAGTGAGGTGTTTCCCTCGGACAACCAGCATCTGCAGCGATGCTGCCTTCTCACAAGGAAGGAAGGGTTAGAAAAGGTCGACCCTAAAAATGTCACACCTCACCCTATCTCACGGATTTCCGTCTCCCTCGGTAAGGGTGCGCACTAAGGGCCTTTAAGAACGGAGCTAATCCTCAAAAAACCCTTCATAAAAAGGCCGTGCGTGACCGGCCTCAAGCAGTTGTCCCTTGGGCTCTGCGGTCGCGCAACCAGGTCTCCGAGACAAACACTAATCTATTTTCCTTTTCAGGTCCCTCAAGAAACAACCTTCCACGGTGTGGGCAGCCGGGAAGTGATAACCGCCCTCATACCCGCAACAGCAGACGAGACCAAATTGTTCAAAATCAAAATCAAATTTTTTTTATCCTTCAACTATTTCCACTCTTCATTATGCATTGTTATCGTTTAAACTAAATTTATTTAAGATATTTTGCCAGAAGCAAACAAATTTATGCATGATAATATTCGATAAAGATTAATTGGATGAGAAAAAAAAGTAAAGCGGTTTTTACGTCTGATAAACTTGACAAGATATGATTAGTTTACTTAATTTTATTTTCTTAATTAATTAACTAACTAACTAACTAACTAACATTGTTTAATCTTGGTGTAGTTCATATGTGATTAAATTTGTGATTGAAATAGTTCTCTTGTTTGAACTCGATTAATAAATTTTCAGTGAAAAAATGCTCTTATTCTCCGTGGACATATTTAACTCAACTATAAAGAAAATTATTTGTAGAGGCACTAGCTAAAATGACTTAAATGCATTCACTATTTGTCTTCCACCTTAGATTTTCAGTTTTAACAATTATTTTCTTATTTCGCTAATAATTTTATTCATCTTTAGTTATATTCTCTATTCCCTCGGTCTTTTTTAACACTTAATGAGATTGATACTCAAACTAATTCAATATTCATTTTGATAATTTTATCTCATTGTGTTTTTGGGGTGTGGCAACTGAAACCGATGCGACTATCATTCCACTTTCTGCACTGCATATCATTGAATGTGACTGTGGAGTCACGCCTAATTAGTCTAACAGAATTATACGCATATATACATATGTATATAGACAGTAAACATTGTTAATTATTTCTTTCTAAAAGACAGATTGTAAATTTATTGTGTTAAATCCAGTCGAGAGATTTATTGACAGTGTAGAGTACAGTACAGTAAGAAAATCGAAAATATTACAATTGTTTATGTGCTTGCCAAATTCAAAAAAAACAGCGTTGGGAAATTCTTTCGAATTTGTCTGAAAAACTTAACCAGTTAAAGTATTTTATTGACTTTACTAAACAAGATGTAGGTGGAATATTAAAAATCGTCATCGTGTGTTAATGTTGGCATAATCAGGTTCAAAAAATGTTCGGAGAGTTTATTATTCACAGTAGAAAAAATGGATTATTTAAACTCAGAGCTAACCCTAATATACTATAACTGTACTAGATCGGGGAAAACTCACTTTCATACAAAAAGGCAGAGTGAGTGATCAGTTTATTCCTTTAAGACAATACGAATAATTTTTTTAGTTATTAATTAAATTGCTGGCTATCTATATTATCTATAATAAACAAATTAAGCTACCGATAGAATCAGAGATATTTTTGGCGGTAATGTTAAGTTAACGAGTGCAAGTATGATCGATGTCTATGATTTCAAAAAACAAATAAGATTCGTTTAATAAAAACGAGAACAAATTTAGAAATCAAGTAGACTGGACATTCGACACACAATAACCGTTTAAAGTGAATGATCGACACGATGATATCAGTCATAGAGAAGATGAAACTGTCAGAATAGCGTTATATTCCGGATGAAAGTCGAAAAATGGAATAAAGTAACTCGGTCTATACGGTTACACCTGATGACCTTGAGACACAACACAATAATCGACGTGAAATTGAGAATACCCAATCAGATACCAGCAAAGGTTATTGCATAAATATGAAATGGAAGTGCTATCGAAGTAAGCCTTTAAAGAAAAGACTAATATTTAATAAAAACTAGATAACTTGAGGTTTCCAGATCGCGAAAATTAAATATTCATTTCTTTCGACTATAGATTTCTAACGAGTTTGCACAATATGACTTACATAGTGCATTTATTAAACGCTAAAAATATCTAATCCAAATAATCATTAGGACAGAATGAGTAACAAACAGAATTGATGAGATTCTATTTATATTAGAATATACAATAATACTATCCAATTACTTATAACCTATAAATATTCAACACTTCAGTTGATCGATAGCTATTAATCAAATAAAACTGTAGCGTGTTACTTAAATATCGGATTTAACTCAGCCTACAGTTATGTACATTAAATACACATTATTAATGGACGGTGAGAACTATACAGAGATGAACATTATACTAATCGGAAAACGAATAATTATTTTCTTCCAACTTAACAATGATGGACACATGTTTATGTCCATAGCATACAGATTTTATTAACATTTTAACAAATTGGTACAATAAAAAAAATCGTAATTTCGAACAAACATCCAAAATGTTCCTAAACATTTTCGACTACTTATAAGTAGGTAAAAATTATTACCGAAATATATAAACTAATAACCATTAAAATTGTTGTACTCTATTGATTAAATATAGTCAAGCCTACTTTATTAGAAGTAAGTAGTGTAGTAGGCTTCCAAACATGTAGATGAAATTAAGTGTATTTTGAGGCTAAGGTATTCAGTGCTGGAAACATCTGCTCTTGTTTAGGTGGCAGCATTTAACCGTATATAAGTAAATGAAATATTAAGAGCGCAAGTTGAACAAGTAGAAAATTTGATTACTGAGCGTGATCATGATTAGATGATTAAGATACGATTAATCAGTCAGTGTTTTATATTATCGTAAATGTTTACAAAATAAAAAAATTCACAAGCAAAAAAAGAACGCCATGTTTTGTTAACAAACTTACACAAATCATTTTCACAGAATTTATTTTTTTCAACTTGACATTCAATTATAATAATAGGATCAAGATGTGCATCATTTTGTTGATATGCAAGTATTGAAATCTATGAAGATAAATTACAGAATAAGTAATTATTTACTGTGAATGAATATTGAATTACATAAGAATAAGAGCAACAACAATAGCTGAAAGATACACACAGAGACATTGTCATATACAATACAATCTAAGCAAGATCGAGTTTAGATTATAATGTTTTTATATTCGTCTATTTCCAAGCTTTCATTTACCTCATAAATTATTGTTATATGGTTTCTTGTTCCAGAATTATTATTATCAACTAATTATTTCCTCATTGCCACGTTATTGTATAACTTATGAGTGATTTGTGCACAACATTTTAATTTCTTAACTGTGTAGCGATGTGATCAGGTATTTGAGGTATACACGTTTTGAGTCAGCTATTAGCAAACTGATATGTTCTACTTAATGATCGACAATAATCTGATATGGAATAATACAAACAGTGTTATATCAGTGTAAGGATATACTGAAAGACGAAACAACCGTTTCGAAGTAAGTATTTGTAGGATTTTATTTTATGATGCGGATCATACCCTAGGTCCATGAGGATGAAATTTCAGTTGATTTTGTACATGTCAACTTTCAGTGATTCTTGTATTGAAAGTAATGAGTGCTGTATAAATTGACATTCACTCACAAAAATGTCAAATATTTCGTGCGTTCTACAAACGTTAACATAGATTTTCTGTAGAGGAATTTGAACAAGCGTTTTCTCAGTTGTCGGGCGGAAGACACTGATGAAGAAGAAGACATTGCGGATGACATTGATGATGAGAAAAACTAACTAGAATTATCCACTTGGAAATCTGGTTGGAGTTTCTTTTCTGTTAAAGTTATTTTTAGGTGCTGACATGTTAACAGATATGATCTCCTTGTTAATAAATAAGTCTTGTATTCATATATTGTCCACGTCATGATCAGAACAGAAAAATAAAGATAATAATTTGAAAACTTTTAAAGGGAGAAATAAAATTTCGTAAAATTATACTATACTGACGGTCTTTAGTAAACTAATCAGTATTAAGATAAGAGTCTCCTACATTTTTGAGCAAAATTAAGAGGACGATGCTGGATAGCTTGTTTGTTGTGACGAACCAGCTAAAGATTGTTACAGTTTTCGTTCCGGAAATTCTTGTTTTTCAATAGAAAAAATTACCTACTATGCAACCAAACAGTGAATACGATATGATGCTAAAGTCAGATTACAATAAATGTTTGGTGTTGATATAGATTGCCTGTTAAATTACTTGGTGTGATTCAATGAACAGTTAATAATATTTTTGTGGCCACACATGTTATTCTTCCACTAAAGTTCTTGGCTTCAAATTTTTACTGCGTCTTTTTTAAGTTCATAAAAATAAAGGTGCCAAAGTACCATTGCATGCTGTTAGTTTTTGAATAATCCCCTTAACTGAATTTGTGTTTCTAAAACATAACTTCAGTTAAACTCCTATTACGTAATCCTAAACTTTTTGTAATATAGCATTTGTCGTTTGTTGACAAAAACTCGATAGGATCATAATCCTAACTCCCGCAATACTAAACCAACTTTTAATACATAGACTTAACCTTTTTTGCCTTACGATAATGAGTAAATTAACAAGTAAAAGATTAGTTATGATACCGAAACCACTATACTATAATAATTTGTATTGTTAATTGTTTTGTAATTAGGCAGAATTTTCTAATTGGTTGATAAGTTGCTGAAGGTCGTCAGTAAAATATATATCTTATACAAAACTTTACTTACATCACTTGAGTTACAATCATCTGGTAAAAGAGAAGAGTCTGTAATGAGTACAGCTCGGGCACACCATCTATATGAAGGAAAATATTGAGTTCATTAATGAGTACTAAATTAGCGATTAATTAAGACACCGATGATCGAATACTAGTAGTCTACGAATATCCTTGCTTCTTACTGGCTATTTTTCAAACCTGTATAGGATTGAGCGAACTGCTGCGCAGTAAAATAGTCTTTTGGTTAGCAGACGGATATTTCATTTATGCTATAAGTGACGCAAGTTGGCAAAAGCCAATCACGTCTTCTGTATTTGTACCGAGATTTCGTCAGATACCAGGCAATTATCACTGATGAGACTCCTAAGGCAAGTAAAACGGTCAATACGCTCAACTACTTCAATCCCTAACACTAGTCCAGGTGCCGACCCCAACCAATTCTGAAGCAACATTTGGCATTTCGAAGGCGAGAATCGCATCCCGAACACGCTTGCATTGTTGCTGAAGGTGGTTAGAAGAATCTGAAATTTGTCAGTGTCTTCAACAAACAGAGCTAGAACATCTGCATATTCCGAGTAAACAAGTGAATCTCCTGGTAGAAAATCAAATCCTGAAGTCAGACGGCGAAAGCGTCGTTTCTAATAGCATACTAATGACAAAGTTAAATAAGAATGGAGTGGACAACCCTGACGAATACCACTTAAACTAATCAATTCTGATGACAGTTAGCTATAAGCTCTGACTCGACCAGTCGTGTTTGAGTAGACATCAACAGAGTCAAACATCGCCTTAAGAACGAGGAATACAACTATTATCGGACGTCTAAATGTGTGTTTATGTTCTAGGACCGTTCGATCGAGCCTCTCCACCGGTGGCTGATAGAGAGGTGGTTTAGTTGGCTTCAACATCGAGTTAATTTTGGGGGTCAACATGTTAAAATATGTCTTTTCTTATGTTTAGAGTTGCAACAGACGGTCGCCATTATCTGTTCTTTGAGTGGCAACACCATAAGGTTCACTCGTGTCTTTCAGTTTCGCTTAATCTACCTATTTGAGCATTTAAATCAACAGCCACTATTATTACATAAGTGCGCTTTATTTTTTGAATGTCTGTAAAACTCATCTTTTACCTCATCATCATATTAAACCTTAAAGAATTACACTCAATATTGAAGGATGTTATGAAACACATGAGCACATTGTTCAATTATTTATTTTATTTAATTAAAATCTGATACAACTGGTGGCCGAAAATAGTTTGCGCCACATGAAATAAAATCCGCGTGTCAGCTAGGGTACTTCTCGGTCTAAACTACAAGGGAGTAGAGAGAAGCCTTTCGCGATAGCTTTCTAGAGATCCTGGAGTCCATGTACACTATTACTTTGGAATCAACTCCTCTGGGTGGACTGTAATACTCGGCAAGTTTATTTAAGTGCCAAAAGATCGCTTTTCGTCTCTTTAATTTTGCAAACAATGTCACCGTCAAGTCAGTTCGATTGAATAGAACTTCCTCGGTAGACATTATAAACCCAATGACTGTATAATAACATTTTGAGAGAGAGGATTCTGCCCAGACTTGACCATGCAAGCCAGTTTGGTAGCGATTATTGATGACAACTAACAGAACGAACAATGCATTTTCTCAATATTACACGTGGACGATAAGTAGTATAAGGAATTCTGTAAACGACCATGGTAAACATAGTGACAAATCGTGATCTCACTATCAAACAACTCACTGATTAATATAATCACTGATCCAGGAATATGGTAAACATTCTGGACATAAAATAACACATTTTGTTCGTATTTGTTTACCATTAGATAAATAAACAATGAAATCATCATTATCATTATTATTATTATCATTATCATCAGTATTATTATTTCTCAATGATACAGATGATGATGATGATGAGAGATCGGTTTCTGTTGTTGTTGTTAGTCCTTCTTTCATATCAATGGAAATATTCTCAATAGATTGAATTAATCCATTCACCTCTGAATTTACATGTTCAATTTTTTCTACTTTACAACCAAGACAAAATGTTGCACCGAAGACAGCTGACATTCTGAAAATAAAATATTATTATTTGTAAACATAGAAAGGTAATGTAATTCATAGGAAATGTTAATTTATGTTGTACAGTTGCAAATAAACTGAAGAATACATTGATCTATTAAGTTGTGCAACAATAAATTTAGCGAGAGAATTTCTCTAAAAAATAGTTCGTTTTCAAAGCTGTATATTTGTACATAAATCCGGTTGAATAATTCACTATCTTCGTAATACTTAATCTCGCTAACCCACTAATAGGTTGCTATTCAACGGAAGATAATTTGTTACATCTTATCAACTCCATAGGTATAATATACCAAATTACTTACAGTTAGGAAAACTATTACCTGACTATTTAAACCAGAACTATAAGCTTAGTTGATCAAATTTAAGTGCTTTAACTTTAAAGTCACCACGACCTCGCTGAAAATAGATGTAATGTAGTGACTAGAAAATATCTAAAACAATCAGTAGTTATCATTTCATAAAGCATATAATTTTAACTAAGTACATTAAGTCATGATCAACATAGAACCACAGAATTTACACTTGTTCAGTGAAGCCTAAATTATTATCCAGATAGTTCAAATCAAAGAAATGATGCAGGATTTACACTGAGGACAGTTGTACGATAATTCTAAGAAGTGACGTCACACAGAATATCTAATTGCTTATAGCCTATTTTACATACAGTGACATAGATACAAATTAACATGAATTTTAATATCGTCCATCGAGGATGAGCATAAACTCATTTCAGTCAATATTATAACATGATGCATAACACTAACCGACAGTATCCTTGAGTTAAATCTCCACTACCATACATTGGCCATAAAATTGGATATGGTCCAAATCGACCCATAGAGAATAACAATCGTCGAATTCTGAAAATCGCCTATTGAAAAAAAACAATGGTTAAACAGGTAAAAATATGTAGATTCCCACTAGTTAAATACAATCTTCTGAATATGAGGTGACTTGATCATTAAGCTTTGTATTAGTTGACCTCATTAACAGAGTGTATTTATGATTTTCGAGGAATTGAAACTTCTTATTTTATTTAAATCCATATTATAGTAACAAACTTTATCACTGAGGTATTCGAACAGTGACTAACCTCTTACAGAGTTAGGCAATAAGAGACGTAGTACTTTAGTTGGAAAAAAATGAATATTGGTGGTTAGTAATTGTTATATGGTTCACTGTTTCCAATCAACAAGCAGCAATACCTTGAAAGTTAAACTCAAATAGCCGGCATTTATACTTTTCATTTAGATAGCTAGTTATATACCTGAATTTACTTAGTCGCAATTCAAACAACGAATAGAATCTTTTGTCTATTTTCTTTCTTAGAATTCGAATTAACAGACCAATTGATATATATCTAACTGTTGCATACAACCAGAACGAATAACAGGAAAAAAAACCATACATAACATCTGTTTTTGATTCATCATTAACTTAGTCAATGGTTAATAATAGTTGAGCCCATTATGCTTAGTGATTTTGTGATTGATTTTCTGAAAGGTATTGCAGCGGCTTAAACAGAGGAAGTAATAAGTACATGGAAAGCATGAGACATTATTGATCAAAATTGAAACAACCGGGAAAAGCAGTCTCTTAACATTGTTTTACATTTTTCAAACAAAAGGTGTTGCTGAGGCTATTCACTAACGTTCATGATAAAAAATATTCACATATCACCTTTCTATCCAATAAAACCATGTAAACTGACTATACTAAATTGAATATGTGACCAGTGAAGTACAACAGTATCCAGTGTGAAGCAGTAACTCGCGATGGATGATGGTTACACAATATCATGGATTGACCCAAGTTAGATATTAGCACTATTGGCTGCCTGCTCAGCAGTTGAGAGGTTAAGTGCTCGTGGGCGAGAGCGAAGGCCCTACGTTCATTTCCTGCTTACCGGGTTGTGGATGCGCACTGCTGACGAGTCATATACTAGGGACAAGACAACCGTCCATAATAAGAGAGAAAGATTATTGTCGTATACAAACTTCAATGGTAACAACTCTAAATGAAATAAGTCATTCGAAATACATACCCACTGAGTAACGACTAAGTTCAGTAAAATGAGAAAAGTTTTCCATTGGTTATTATCACAGAAGTCAAAACAAACTTTACGATGTTATACAATGAAATTTTTGCAATGATTACATCTAGAGAAGATGAGATTTTCATAATTTAAGATATAAATAGTTGATTTGTTCAGATACATAAATAGACACTAACAACAACAGTTGGATCACTTTCATTGACATCAGATGTGATCAATTTTTTTCGCGAGCAGGAAGCTTGCAAGTTAATAATTTTACTATTGGCAAGCAAATGTAAATATATTTTTTCATAAAACCTATTTCCAATAAAGTTGAACAATAATTTTATTTAGTGAAAATAAATGTACTCACAACAAATAAATATAACCCACATCTTTAGTTTTAATTTGTTGTTTACTAAATGATAGATTAGTTATGATTAATTGTTGTGTAAATTTATCAAGTTTACGTTTTTCAGTTAATAAATCTTGAAAAGGTCGATCTTCATAAGCTTCAATTGATTCAATGTTGAAGGAAAAAAAAGGTAGAAAAAAAAGAGAGCGTGAGAGAAAAGCAAATAAAATCAATTAAATGTACAAACATAAATTTATATATGAGCAATAATGAACAATCGATATCAATTACATTACAATTTATTATTATTATTATTGTATAACTATTATGGTTAAAATGTAAACGAGTCATAATAGATAGTTTATATTTGTTACAGCTTATAAGTTAATGAATTCTGATATCGAATACTAATATTAAATAGGTAAATTGAAGAAAAAAAAAATATAATCTATATAGTTTAACAGATATGAAAACTAAAATGGGTTACATTTGCTTTAGATTGAATTAACAGATGATACATGTATAGCTTTTGCCTGCTGGGTTTGCCCCCTGGGCCGGCCCGCCCCTCCTTAGACGACCTGGACAATCCGACCTCCGACAGGTCATCCATATCGGCGCCGTGCTTAGCGTGGACGCCCGAACAACATTAGTACCCACATGCTAGAACTCCCGAACCCGCGAAATCCGGCACCCTGGCCTCCAAGTAGCTAGATTACAGGCGCGCGCCACCACGCCCAGCCATGTGTAGCTTTATTGTTCAAGGAAAAGTAACAGACAGAATTTAAGTCGGGACACCATTGTGAACTGACACTTTTAAGACAAAACTAAATCGGATAGCGTTAAAAACGGTAGTGGTATGTTAACACTATAGAATGCACCAGTAACCTTAGCCGATGCAAGTTAACAGTCAGCTACAAGGTAGGACTTTATATGTACGTACATCAGTTCAATTCGCCATACAACATTACCACACAGAGATAGAATTGTCAGTTTAAATCCCATGGTGGTAGAAGTTGCGGCAGTATTAGTGACAATCGGCAAGATTAGGGATCGAAGATATCATTCGAAAAGTATATCTCAGTGATATAAATTTTAAAAGATAAAAGTTAGGCCATGAGAAATTCAGAAGATTACAACTTGAGGGGAAACTAAGAATGGATACATCTGTGCCATTGCAAAAGATTTTCAGCCATGTCATGCAATTGTTTCGAGGACCCTAATCAGATAGTCTAAACCTATTAACTACCTCCGTTCAGTTGTCAACAACTTCGTGGACTTGTGCCATTTTTCGGTTTGGCCACTTTCTTCCAGCCTACTCCTTTATCACCAAACATCGCCCGTCGAAGTAGTTGGTGGTTGGGCAATCGTAACACATGCCCCAACAACCTCAATTGATGAAGATTCACTACTTCATCAATTGATTTTTCATCCTCACATAGTACCCTTTTCTTGACATCAGGGGTGCTTACTCCATGGTCCCAGGATATCAGATCAATATTTCTGAGATACCTATGACCGAATACTAGTAACTTACGAATATTTTCTATCCTTAGTGGTCTCTATACGAGTGAAGTGTTAGCTAATGAATCATAGACAGACAGAGAGATACGACGCAGAACTTCGTACTTAAGTACATCAGTTCAGGTTGCCATACCACATCAGCACAGAGACGCAACTGTCAGTTCAAATCCAAGAGTGATAGCAATAGTAGAATTATTAGCAGCAATGGAGAAGATTAGGGAGCAAAGATATGATTCGAGAAGTATAATTCAGTGAGATAAATTTAGAAGGAGAAAGATAGAGATTATGAGGAATTCAGAAGGTTAGAATTAAAAGGCACACAAAGAGTGGATGCACCTGCGCCATTGCAAACGATTTCGAGCCATGTCATTCAAGGTCTCTAACCATCGGTGACTATCATCTCGCGGACCCCAACCAGATAGCCTACATCTACCAACATGACTCAGTCCACTTGTCAGTGACTTCATGGATTTCTGCCATGTTTTGGTTTGGCCGCCCCAGCTAATGAATCATATACTGCAGTAAATCATTTAGATTGTAAATTCAAAAGACTTTTAAAACATTCTGCTTGCTATACATGACGATATATGGATTCATATTTTTTAATCAAAACTTAAAGACAATCATAAACATTGGTTAAATTTTCTTTTTCCAAAAATCATTATGATAAATAAAATTATTTCATGCATATTTAAAAACAATATTTATTCTAAAAAAAAGTAAATAATTACATTACAGAGCATTAACTTACCACAATAATCTTCATCTTTTTCAGTATGTGTTGTACTACGTTGAGTATCATTAATGATTAAATGAAAACACCATTCGAAAAATGCACCTAATGATCTTTTTTGATGTAAACTCAATAAACGTGTTTTAAATACATCTGAACGACAAACAGGAATCTAATCAATAAATAAATAAATAAAATGTATAGATTAATTAATAATAAAACCATAATAAAACATTGAACAAATAAGATATAACAACACATATTGTGGTGCGAGCTACTTATAAGTAGTAGTATATGACGTGAGTGTCAACGTAATGTCTGGCAGCGGAAGATGGGGGAAGATCAAGAGAAAGGAAGAGTTAGAACACAATGGAATTTGTATGAAACGCATGAATAGTGACAATGGATTGATGTTTTGCAACAGGAACAGTCCAGTTCGAGATGATGAAATGATATTTTGCAAATGAACGATTTACGATATGGTTTTCCGATTTTACTGAGTAACTCTGTAATTCTCGATAATATACAATCCGGTTGCCCCACCTGTGTTCTCGTTCACTACAATATAAGCGGAAAACCGATTAGATCGTCATCCTAAGCTCATTTTCGCTTCTGTGAGACGTGCATTAAACTTCAGGAATTCATTGAGTGCCTTAAATGCAGCAGGATTGCCACATGATTTAAGAATAGTCAACATTCCCATTATGAAAATTAGAACAACACATATAAGCAAACGATCGATTAGATCGTCATCCTAAGCTCATTTTCGCTTCTGTGAGACGTGCATTAAACTTCAGGAATTCATTGAGTGCCTTAAATGCAGCAGGATTGCCACATGATTTAAGAATAGTCAACATTCCCATTATGAAAATTAGAACAACACATATAAGCAAACGATCGATTAGATCGTCATCCTAAGCTCATTTTCGCTTCTATGAGACGTGCATTAAACTTCAGGAAATCATTGAGTGCCTTAAATGCAGCAGGATGACGATCTAATCGATTGTTCGCATATATGTGTGTTGTTCTAAATTTCATAATGGGAATCTTTAATAAAATATACTGTATAAATGAAGAATTTGAAGATACACATTTTAATAATGATGAAGTCATTATCACAACGTTTAAGAATATTTAAATTCAAATGACATCGGAAAGTGCATTCAGTATCAATAATTTGATTTTTAAAGTATTAAATAAAAAATATCATAAATCTAACAACGATAATGTGATCATTATTCAACTAAAATAAAATATTTTGAATTATGTAGTATCTATTTTTTTATTTTATTACGAGAAAACCATACAACCAGAACTGTCAAATATAAGTAAGTAGTGTGGAAACGATAACTAACATATGAATCAGTAATAATTTGAGTAAATGTTTATTTTAAATTTGTGCAAAATTCAGTTACACTTTAAGCTAACAAAAAAGAAATAGAAAATTTGAAGACACTTACTTTCACTACATGACCGTGACAATTTGTTGTAGACGATTGATGATTAACATTGCTTGAATCTGTTTCAGATTGTTGTGTAGATTGGTTGTCATTAATATAAGCTAACAAACGTGATACAAAACGAAACTCCAAATATCGTGTTACATCAGCACGTTGAAGTGCAGTTACTACAGGACTATGTGAATAGAGGATCTGAAAAGAAAGAGGGTAATCACAATAATGAATGAATTGACAATATAATTAAATAAATTTATGATATTCATTAATGGAAATGGAAGATTACTTATTATTATTGTAATTGATTAATTATCTGATACTTCATGACTTTTAACATTGTTCAAATTTAGACGAAAGTTCTTATAAATTATTGAGAAGAGTTTTAGTTATCATTTTATTGATAGTACGGACTAAATTACATTCAATCATGGTTGGTGTATGTGAGTCCTGTGCGAATCCCCTTAATATGATCACTTCTATGGCCATATGATAACAAGGACTGATCGAAATTGAAGTCCCTAGTATCAAAAACGGAATAACTGGAACACTTGTTAACAATGGTGTAAATATTATGCTTATTGAACAAGTTAGTAGTAGCTCAATGGATAATCAGTTAGGCGTTTATAGTAAAAGATAGTGGGTTTGAAGGAAACTGTCAACATCAACACTAGGATAAGGGCAAATCCACTTGATAGGTCCTAGGATGAAACGCACGGCCTAGATTCTTCTGCTAGATACAATCCTTCAATTTGATATACTCGGTCATTCTTCCGATAGTTCTATATGGTGATATTTCTTCAGCTGAGTCAGAGAGATAAGTTCGCTAAGTAATTAGTTCCTTAATCTAAGTCATTTCAGCAAACTTATAAGTCAATTGTTCAGTTATGAAAGCTTTAAGTTGAATTAACAATAATCCAACAGTTTAACGTATATCGTATAATACAGTTGGTCGGTTTGAGACAGTATCAAAGCCTCCAAGAGCATTTACACTATTATATCAACAATTTATATTTTGTGTACTCGGTTTTAAGCCACACGTTTCGCCTGATATTTAGTGATACCATAAGGCAGATCATACAAAAGTTGATGGGACGTCGTTCGAATACACAGCACAGTCGTTGAAAGATGTGAGTTATTACTCACATTTAGAGGCAGAAATAAGTTTTACCTTGTCACCATGCTTAGCAAACGACACATTAAGGCAAACTAAAACTTACTATGAGGTAAATGAAAGATCACTTATTGGGCGTTAACCGACAGTTTTCTTTAGTGAATACATAGGATCGATTGAGAAAGTATATATCAATCTTATGTGCACTGGTGAATTGAACTGAACGATAAGAATCGATCATATAGCACAGTTATTGGAATATAAAAATCAACTGAGTTCATTCACATTGTACATACACATGAGATTTGAACAGGTGATTTTAAAGGTGAAAGTCGATTACGTATACGAAAAATGTAAGTCTAATCTATGGTGAAGAATTTAACTACTTGAAGTAAGTTAAACGACAGTAGCTGTTACCCTGGCATGTTAGCCATGCTTCACTATTGCGATGACCAAATTGAATGCACCCAAATTGAATTTACTTTACGTCCTACCATACTAGACACGTGCGTTGGAGAACGGTGAGGACAAAAGCATCAGGCTCGAGGTTTGAGGATGAAGTTATACTGCTGACTGTACAAAGGGATTATGGAAGGAAGGTGTTCATCTTATACAAACGACTGAAGGGATGATGATTTACCTCAATGAAAAGAGGTTAGAAAAGGTTGCCCCTAAAAGTAGCATACATTAGCTGGACACAATGTACAGAGTTAGAATATCAGAAACTATCCACAAAAAGTCTGTGACCAGCCTTAGGCAGCTGTCTCCTGGGCTATGCGATCACGCTGCCACATTTCCAAGACCACCTAGCAGTTTCATTTTCAGATCCCTCGAAAAGTATCCCTCTATGCTTATGGCGAAAATGTCACACCTCACCCTACCTCACGGATTTCCGTCTTTAGCGGTAAAGGCTGCCCACTAAGGGCTTTTAAGAGCGGAGCTAATACTCAATAAACCTTTCATCAAAAGGCCGTGCGTAACTGGCCTCAAGCAGCTGTCCCTTGGACTCTGCGGTCACGCTCCCAGGTCGTTAAGATCAACGCTAATCTACCTTCCTTTTCAGGTTCCTCAAGAAACAACCTTCCACGGTGTGGGCAGCCGGGAAGTAACAACCTCCCTCATACCCATAAAAGCACACGAGACCGAATTGGTCACAATCAAATCCTTCCTACACCCCCTAACATCTCTCTTATCTCCACGACTAACTCTATTCACATTTCTTTATCTCACTGAACTGCTAATGCAAACGATGCGAGTTCACGAAAAGTTATTCCTGGCCTCCTGAAACCCCGTTCTAGACTACATGTTGGAGCATTAAATGTACGGACCTTGTGTCGAATAGAGCAACAGGCTTCATTAGCTAGGACTTTAGAATCTCGTTCCATCGATGTGTGCTGCGTCTCGGAAACGCGCACACAGGATCCCAATAGCATCACTCATTTGACCTCACCATGTCAAGATAAAGAAGCAACTCGATTTACCCTTCGTGTATCCGGTAGCCCTGATGCTGCTTCTAGGGGCCTCGCCGGTGTAGGTATAGCATTGAGTCATAGGGCAGAACAATCTCTTCTTGACTGGATCTCAGTAGATAGTCGCTTGTGCGTTGTCCGACTAAACGGGACAGTAAGGACTCGGAAAGATAGAGACACTTGCCGTTGCCTCTTCGTCATATCTGCCTACGCTACCACTGACTGCAGTTCAGACGAGGTGAAAGATGAGTTTTACAGAAAGCTTTCGGACCTCCTCCAAAAAGCTAGGTGCTCTGATGTAGCAATAATGGCTGGTGACTTTAATGCTCAAGTAGGTAGACTGAGTGAAAATGAAAGACACCTGGGTGGATCTTATGGTATCGCGGCTCAGAGAACAGATAATGGTGACCGCCCGTTACAAGTATGCTCAGATAACCGCCTATTTCTAGAAAAAACTAACTTCAGGCATCAGGGAAAAGATCTTTTGACCTGGCGACCCCCAAAGTCGTCTCAACACTGGACCCAACTAGATCGCATTGCCATCAGCCACCGATGGAGAAGTTTGATAGAGGACTGTCGCTCGTTTTGGGGCACATGTTTAGGTTCAGATCATGCCTTAGTGTGAGCGCGTGGTGAAGTGGTGAAACTTCTTCAGTTGAGGTGGTTGGGACATGTGTTACGTATGCCTAACCACCGACTGACTCGACGAGCTATGTTTTGTGGTGTAGGAGTAGGTTGGAAGAAAGCTAGGGGCGGCCAGACCAAAACATGGCAGAAATCCATGAAGTCACTGACAAGTGGACTAGTTCAGGTCGGTAGGTGTCGACTACCTGGTTGGGATCAGCGATATGATCGTAATCGATGGTTAGAGACCCTGGATCACATGGCTCAAAATCGTTTGCGATGGCGCAGGTGCATTCATTCTTTGTGTTCTCTCAAATCCTAATCTTCTGGATTAGTCAACACCTCCACCTTTGTCTTTCTAAACCTATCTCACTGAATTATACTTCTTGAATATAATCTTCAGGTCCTGATCTTCTCCATTAGCAGTAATTTTTCTACTATCTCTTCCACTATTGGATTTGAATTGACAATTGCGTCCCTGTGCTAGTGTGGTATGGCAGCATGAACTGATGTACTTACGTACGAAGTTCTGTGTTGTAACTGACTGACTGACTGAGTGACTACCGCTCTCACACATTAAACAGAATTTGATATTACCTCGTTCACTATCAAATCACCTCACTTATTAATATTCCTATCTTCACAATCAGCTCTCAGCTGTCATCACTGCTATACACATATTTCATCAGTGCTAATGGTTAGAGTTCACAAAATCTTATCCCACGTCCCCAGAGCTAAGCACTTAGTTGGCCATAGACAAAACTTTAATCACAGAGAAGTTTAATAGGAAGTCTAAACAGCTGTAAACACCATAGTGATATTGAACACTATCCTAATTCTAAAAATGGAAACTTTTACTGAATTAGCAGGTGTAACAATACTCATCTTGACAAGCTTTGAGGACGATAAAAACCAACGAGAATTCAAACATAAACTAATATAAAGGTTTACGTGATGAATATGAGAAGTGGTGGGTAAAAAAATCAAAGTAAATCAAAATGACAAAGTAGATAAAGTAACAAGAGACAACTGTTTCGACTCGTCAAGAAAATATGTATCAAAAAGTTAGCTATCGATGAAAATGCTTTAGAATCACACGGAACAATAGTCTATTCCTGATTCAGGATATCATATCGACACAATACTTTAAGGGAAAGTTCAACTGACATTCAACTACGTTGCGAATGTCTATTACTCTAAAACAACTAGAATGGGAGATAAGGAAGCGCTTCACAGCTCTAAATGAGATTGAAAATACCACAGACAATATGAAGCGGGGAACAATAGGACACTATGTGTCAGCTCAGGAAATCGCTAGGGATGGCGTTCCAGATTAAATGATCAGGTTAACTGAGATAATGATCACTACACTCATATCGGAAGTTTCATTAGTCCTAGCAGGTTGGTTTCTGCATAAATCTCGATACTTATCAGGAAAGCTCACTTGAGTTTGGTAGGATTGAGCTACTTGTGAAGTAAGCATGATATCCATGTGTCAACGAAGAAGCAAGTATACTTCTATCTTTCGAATCTCGAGTCCTGGTATCCTTAATACATAGCTTCACATTCTTATTTGATGAATAATCTTCTCAATGTTTAGTTTTTCGCAGTGCCATCGCTACAAAATTGTTTCGAATCCATTGCTTTCATTTTGTCGTGGTAATATGGTACGGAAACTTAGGTTAACCTGCATTTGATCCAGATTCTATGTTGGTTACGACAATTCGTTCGAAATTAAATGCTAGGCTTTTCCTCACACTAACTGAATGATTAAAGTAAACAGCTTTTAAACCGTATCATAATTTCGGACTCTACACAATTTACTTTTGTTTGTACAGCTAAGTAATACTACTGGTCGTCAGAGTGTGACTTGAAGCTACGTACATGAATCTTCACTTTGTAAGTGAGTTAACCGAAATTCCCTTCACAGAACAGCAGTTGCTAACAAGTTGGAGATACTATTCAGTTACCCAATCCAAAGTGATGAGGAAAGTAGAACAGACAACTCCGGTCAAATGCTTAGAGCACTGAGTTGTACACGCTTGTTATGAGCAAGTTCCTCAAACGTAGTATGAAGAAATGTCACTTCAGTTGATGACAATAAGCGTTAATAGTTACTGAATATATATTTTACATAGTTATATTGACATTACCTTTGGTACTATGTCTATATCATGCAGGCGTATAGCGTTTCGTAATTTAGACCGAGACCACAATTTTTGGCACTGAACTATTTTATCGCCATCGGATTTTCGTTCAGTTGGGATAACAACGTTTTCATGTTCATTCCCAGCCGATTCCTCATGTTCTTCTCCAGGTTGGTGAATTACACTAGAAATTTCAGTGCTAATAGAATCGTATTGAACAGTACTGTCACTAGGTAATGCTGTTGTTCTTGGCGAATCATGAATAACTTGTTTGCTTACGTTACCAGAGTTCCCAGCATCAATATCATTATTAGCATCAAGACTCTTGTCACAGCTATCACTAATAACAGTAATAAAAAACCAAGTGGCAGTAGTGAATTTTCATAGTACTACAGAATGTGTTCTGTTAGTGTGTAACAATTAGTTTAAAACTTATGAGAATCTAATAGGAATTAAGATAAGTTATCACAGTAACGAAAAGTTTTTACATGCCTATATCTTTATTCTTACTGATTTAACAAGCCGTTTTCAGTGGATTACCAATCTAACTTTTAAGGTTTTATTTGGAAATATTTTTGGTAGTTACATCAGCATTTCTTGATTGTCCATATACGATCGAAAGTGCAGAATCAGTTCTTCCTTTCAAAATACTCTCATGTGGCCACGCACTCAAAGTCGCTGTTAGGCAAGTCCCACTCACTATCTTCTTGTCACAGGTGTTGCTTATGAGACTGGGAAAGAAAAACAAGTGTCTGGAGCTTGGTCAGCCGGTACGGAGAATTCACTTAGGGGAGTTGGAAAACTCTAGTTCAAAAACAATGGTGCACACGGTGTATAAATTTATCCTTGGTCAGTGGTTATCATAGGACTGCATTACCTAACGTTGCTCCACTGCTTTATGGATTAGGCTTCTAGGTCAGACCTTGTGAAGCGATACCCTAAGAAAACAATCTGGCTTGGTTTGGGTGCCCGGGTAATATCCAAGCTTACATATAAATTTCATGGTCCGTGTGGCGCTCCTTTGTATCAATATTTCAGTGTTCAAATTGTAAAATAAAAACATTTCTTTGCTATTCCTGCAAGAGCTGTATGCCGAAAACGTATTTTAGTAAATGAAGATTGTTTCTTTGCTAAAAAGCCAATGTTACGTGGTGAAACAAAATAAACCAGTTATACTAGGTAGAAAGAATATTTTCACACCTCTGAATGCAAGGGTTTCACACGAAACTTTTCGGGATGATACGAAGTCAAATACTGGATTTAAAATTTAGAAAAATATAAATAATACTCACCCTAGAAACCAATCCGACGACCTGTGAGTAACTAAAGGAGACCTAATTCCGCTAAGATCCAAACATCTATCTTTAATGGCTGGAAGACTTTTGGGGAAGTCAAGTTCCTAGTAAATTAAAATCGATGGTTGAGCAACGAATTGAACTTACAGCTTGGTTAAGAAGTTTCTCGAATTCAGGAAACCGCAAAGATGCCAGGACCCCACCATAATAATCATTCCTACGATAAGTTAACAGGTAGATCATAATGAGCTGAAATTACCGATCGATGTGAAGAATTCGCTTTCCCAGTATTGATAAACTTGCAGAGATTAAGGATTCACTTAAGCCTGCAGTACAAAAGGAACGGTCTTCATGAATTGTTAAAAATTTTTAACGATGAATTTCTAACTAAAGCACGTGACTTTCAATCACCATTGGTCTATTGACTTTAAGTAGTGTCAGAGTCACGCAAATAATACACGGACCTGAGTCTAGTACGTGAGTTTTATGTTTGACAGCATTCATCAGTAATCTAATCAGCGTAGTCTGGACAGGAAAACATTCTGGATATATAAAGTCGGACATACGACCAGCCTTGAAAATAATTACTAACCTTTTCCAAAGTTGCTGAAGCTGAATATTGACTACAAGAGCTTTATCGATGTAACAAATTGACTTTTGAACGTAGAAAGATACTGCATATACCACAGAGAACAAATATGTCCATCATAAAAATGGGTTTTGGGTCAGTTTTTGAGGTTAGAACGTTATGGTAAGGCTGTAAATCCAAGTTGTTATACGTTTTGGGCTCACCAAACGTACTGTAACTTTTTTGAATGACACTATGTGCTAAAAATAGATTTTATAACGCTGATATGATTAAAAAGTGCCTAAATCCGTATATAATGAGCAAGACTAGAATCCTAGGAAGGAAAAGTATTTAGTTAGACACCTAATAAGTTGGAATTATTAGTGGCTTAACTCTATTACTCTTAGATTGATTTCGGCAATATTTGGTAGTAGTTTAAACCAACACTTTTTAACATACCAGTCCCATCAATAACACAATCAACCCGCTTCGGAAAATCCATTTGAAAACGTCACTACTAATAACCTTGACCAAGGACGAGACGATATGGATATAAAGGTGTTAGTAAGTTTATTTTGTCCACTCATTGTTTGGCTCTCTGAATTCTCCGATATAAAACATTCTTGATTACTGATTGCTGTTTGTAAATATTCTTAATAGACATAAGTGCATTTTATGAACTTCCTGAGTTATCAGCTTACCACTTATTGTGTTATTCTCCATTAACAGTAAAAAAACACCAAAAATAAATAATTCTGCTCACTTCGTTGGTCTTACTGAACACACCCAACCTCAAATAGGCTTGGTCACATGTCCGCACCAGGTTACCATAGGGTGCATCTCTTAACAACTCCCATATCTAATATACAATTTCCTTTTCACGAGCTGGTGTAAACCGACTGATTTCTTCGCTCTCGATTTTCATTCTTTCAGTATGGTTCTAGGTATTTGGTAGTGTCCAATGGGTGATAGTCTAGTAACTCGACTGCACTAATACTAGTCAGTTGGTAGTTATTTATGAATTCAATGTTTCATGATTTCAATGAGTGCGTTCGTTTCAGGGCTGCAAGGTTTCTTGATACCAGCAGCTAATACATTGTCAGGTCGGAGATCAGTTAGTGAAGAATAAAAAGCATAAAATTCTAATGCTAACAATATTTCAGCAAATAAATGGATAAATAAGTTGATTAATTATTGCGGAATATTGTGAGAAAGTACCGAAGGACGAGCAAACAGATCCGGGGAGATGACAACTAAGAAGTTTCGAGATTTGCAACAGGTACAGCAGGT